CTTGTATAATATCTCCACTCTTGTTCCTCTTTCTAGGCTTTCTGTGTGTCAATCAAAGTGAACTACTTGCAGTTTCCTGTATGGGTATGGGGATGACAGTTGATGAGTTCATTTCTGGAAGTTTTTCCCATTTGGAGAATATACACCTTCAAAACTAGAGAATATATGAAATAAAAATTTTGCTTTGTTATATTTAAATTCTTATTATAATTTACATTATCTCCTTACTCTTACTTGTAAATTATTTGTAAATGACTTTGAAAAAGAACATGTTAAGTGTCCAGATATAAGTGGAGATGACTATTTTTTCCTGCTATGCTGAGATTAGCATGTGCATTTTTGACACTCTATTGCAGTAATTATCAAGTTATTCTTAGTTATATAATTATTTGTACCACATCATCTCTTTTCTGGATTATCAGCCCCCTAATGGCATATCACAAATACTTATTTAGTAAACATTAAAACTCCTAAAGGTTTTGATTTGTGAACATAAATTGGATATTTGGAATGACAGTGAGTATGCTTTTATGGAACTATGTCCATCTTGGAGAAATATTTTCCAGAAAAGAGTAAAGCAAGATTGAATTTTACCTAGTCTTCTCCAGTACAGCCAAGTGAACTCTGAAACATATTAGATTAAACCATTAAACAGCAGTGAGTATAATGCAATTACATTTGACATCTTCTCAACAAGATCAAACCAAAAATGTAGTTAAGCACCACGAAAGTTCAAGAAACGGAGCTTAATAAAATGAGAGCACTAACTTATTCCTTGAGGCTCTTTCTAGCTATGGATTGAAACCCATACAATTGGAATACAGGCCTCAAAGAATACTGTATTATAGTCAGAGAAGATTTTAATAGGTGAGTACCCTCAATTTTAAGAGAATAAATGACACAGAAAATGGAATAAATTACCTTGACATAAATTCTTGACTCAAGGAAAAGTCAGAAAGCTGGATTTTCAATGCTGGGATAACTTCTAAGGGATAAACTCTAACTCGGATTGAACTTTAATCATAATAGCTACAAAGATGAAAAGCTGGGGAAAAAAAGTGTTGAAATTGCTAAGCAAAAGCACACTAGTCCTGATCCTTCTACTGACATTTAAATTGGTTTCCTTTATCTATAATGCATATAAAGAGGTCTGTGAGCCATGCGATTTCTTTCTTATAGAAATGTGTCTGTTCTTTGACTCCATTGACTCCGCCCAGCAATCCCTGCAATTTATTAGTCCCAGGTGGAAGTTGATGAAGAGAGAATATGAAAATTCCAAGCAGTATCATGATATTTCCTATAAAGAGTCTACCTAAATGAATGAAACTATCTGAATGGCTGTCTCTTAAGAAAAATATTCTTAGCCCTAAAAGATGAAAAAAGAAATTGGAGTACCTGGAAGGTTGATAAAGTTAAATAAAGCTAAAGAAATTTACCCTGACCATCTATACTATTATTTTCTAAAAAAATAAAAATGAAATAAACAAAGACCTTAAATCAAGTCTCAATGTTGCAATTAATGTCTGCTTTTACTAGTTTTAATAGTTCTCTCATAATACAATGGCAACTAGATTTTTTTCACCCTAGGGAAAAAGACTGAGTCATCATCTTCAAGACTTCAGGACAGCCACCATAGATAGTCTCTCCATCTCTCTCTCTCTGTGTATGTGTGTCGTTTGCTCTTTCTCTTTACCCTCCCCCGCTGCTTCTCTCTCTCCTAAGGCAGGTAGCTAGGGACTACTCAAAACACATTCTATAATGTTGACTATCTACACCACAAGCGGATTTAATGGTGGGGTTATTAGGTCATTGAAGGACAACAGGGAGGTGTTTTTCAAAAGGGAAAATCTTCAGTGTCCACCATACCCTTAAAATTATACAATGTACATATAAGCCTACTCTAGTTAGCCTAAAGGGCCAACCTTGTTACATACACTCACTCTATAGTTTTAAATAAAATTTTCTTAAATTTTCCATATAAAATAGTCTGAATCAATACAGAGTAATTTTAATTAGATACAACAAAGTGATCTGATCTTTACATTTTACATTGGCTTTTAAAATGGTCCCTGTAATTGAGGTGGAGACTGTCACTGATCACAGGGTAGTGCATGTTCACTACAGAGAATCAGAAAGAGTAATTCAATCCAATTCAGGTATATAAACAAAATCTTAGCTAAACATACTCAAAAGAGTTCTTAGAAGTATTTTATATGATGGGCTAAAAAAGCAAAACTTGGGACTTATGTCATGGTGTTAGCACATTTTATCAGTAAGATTTTTTAAAATTTGAAGTGCAATTTGGGATATTTTGAGGATGTGACAGTAGTCTACACAGGAAATACTGAATTCCAGAGGGAAAAATCAAATTATAGTTTTAAAAACTCATTACCAATAATTAATAATGAACTCTAGCTAAACAATAACAGGTGTTCCACTAATCCCAAACAGAAGCAGATGGAAGCACAAATGTTTTATAAATAGTGGATACATGCGGAGCAATAAACTTTGCAGGAATTACTTTATTCTCTAATTATCAGTCAGAGTCACAGTCTTATCACTTGCATTTTCTCTAAATTAAGATGCTGAGACTTAATCTGTTTCTCACTGTTTTTAAAAATGCAAGCCATATTTAGTGCTTTCTCACTCCATCTTGTGTATTGCCTCACCACAAATTTTACTGAGTTCCTCTTTTTACATTTATGAAACTCTATTTAGTTTGTTATATAAAACAACAGGTATACCATACGAGCTCCCTTTCTCCTCCTTCGTCCCTTCCACCCCCTAGAAAAGAAATAGTGACCTAATTTTTTTTTAATTTCTTGTATATTCTAGCAATAAATCTTTTAAATGTAGATAGATGAAATATATTAAGAAGACTATTAGAAAGTCAATAAACAGTGTTAATAAATTTAATCCTGTAGAATTTGGAAATTCTTTTTAGGAATTAGAATATTATATTCACAACTGTTTAGAATGAGTATGTTCACGTATGCCTTTAGAGGATCACTTCCTGCAAGGCCACTAGCAAATCTTTCTTCTCTCAGGCAGAGATGATTTTTTGTTGCTACTTCTGACCTGGTGATGCAGTGCTTAAGAGCTCAGCTATTAACCAAAAGGTCGACAGTTCGAATCCACCAGCCATTCCTTCTAAATCGTATGGGGCAGTTCTACTCTGCCCCATAGGGTTGCTATGAGTTGGAATCAACTCGACGACAACTGGTTTCTGACCTTAATCTGTTGTCAAATTTTCTGAAATAAATGGTGAGCATTATCACTGTTAAACTGTTAGTGTCCCTCACTGACTCTGACAATGCATGGCTCCCTTTGTCCTGTAATTTTCTTAGAAATCATATTTTATGATCAATTAGAAGCTACTATCAATAATTTCAGTTGCACAGAAAACACATTATTTTCCTCAGATTATGAAATTTAAAAACTAGTGGAATATAAAAAAAATAATGTGTATTAGTCATTTATTAATTCATACTCATCAATAATAGAGATTCATCACATGTATAAGCAAACAGTTACTCGAGCCTATACAAGTCAAAGTATGTGTAGAGTATGGTTTTATTAAACCACCCAAACTGGACAAACTTGGCAGCAGATCTTTTTTCTAAAATTGAGTTAATGGTGTGTACAGACTGGGACTTGTCAGAGTTGAGTATTTCTTTTCGCATGGAATGCTCACACAGATAGACAGCAGTGAAACAAATTAAATAGTAATAATAACATTTGTTGTGCATCTACTAAATGCTTTGACAATGACTTTGCAAGGTTGTTACTGTGATTCTCCATTTTAAATATAGGAGAACAAAAGATGATTTACTCAAGGTCCAAATCTGGAAAAGAGTAAAGTCAAAGAACTCTCTTTTCACAATAACACAATACCTTCCTGAATGTTTCCACCTAGTTTCTCTACACGTTTTGATGTTAATCATTTTCACCTAGTAAGTCATTATATTTTTCAAAGTTTTCTCTTCTAATTTCAGTTGCTAACTCATTTTAAAAGTAAAAAATGAAAAGAAGAACAAAATGGGAATGCGTTACTGGCATTAATTTTCCAGAGACCAAAGTTTTCATGATTTTCTAATTATCTAAGGCCTATAAGTATTATATATTTGTCTTAGATGTGATATGCCTTCTCTGCAATATATGCATGAATTATACATTTTAGAAAAAGTTCCATACAAATAACTAAGAAGACAAAATATAATCTGCTTTAAACATTTAGCTTCAATTATTGCAATATAAATTAGCTCCTTTCTTAACAGTTCCATTTCAGAAATGTTTCCTCAAATATGAACATACTACTGTGTGTTTTTAAATCTATGAAAGGCATAGAATAGACCAGGCAATCAAGTTATTCATTCTTAGTTAAGATATTAGTAAAGACTCTCTTGTTACCCTTTAGGCAACAGTTAAAAACATGAGAGATGATAGATAAATTCCTTCCCCACTGTGTTGACTGTTAACTCCCTGGTTGACTATCTCCATCAGTAGTAATTCTCTGGAGAGACTACACCAAGCACATACGTAAGGGAGAAAGCCAAAATGATTTTAGAAAAGAAAAGAAAACAGAGAAATTAAATATTTGAAATTAGATGAATTTTAATATAAATTTTGTTCCCTACTTAAAAAAAGAAAGATACTTTTATTGTCCTAGATCTTTTCTTCTGGTTCACCAGCTATAAAATAAGATGATTCACTGCTTCATTCCAAGAGATTTTAAAGATATTAGTACTTTTCATATAGAAAGATATTAGTGCTTTCGTAGCTTCAACTGACTTAATTTGCACTAGGCCATGCAGTAATGGAAAGTAAAATTTAAAACCCTAATACCATTATTAGTTTTGCCTTGTATTGATTTATTCTAAATCTACACATGCATTATACTACATTTCTAAAATGAAAATGTAGTTTAGTACATAAAGAGCTAACAATCTTAGAAACAAAGACTTTTAAAACAGACAAGCACACAAATTGTTTTTGAATACCTGGTTTCAAATCCCCATGGACAAACATGTCAATCATATATCGACAGAATGCATACTGATCTGACAGAGTAGAAAGAAAAAGAGCAATGAGAAAATGTCATCAACACCTTTCACTTATCTCAGGAGAAATGGTTTAATGAAACAAATAAGCAAAACAGCACAATTCGATTTTGGTTTCTACAATCTTTTCTGTGAAGGAATGATTTGCACTCATGAACACACAGGAAAAAAATAAAATAAAATAAGCCTACATTATTCCATACAAAAAGAAGAATCTGAAGAAAATGAAACAGACTAGTCTGGGGCAATATTGCATGGTTGTATTTAAGAATCAAAAATGTTTTCAAGTTTGTTGTAAAAGTTATCATATTAAAGCAATTATTTTCTTCGTTCTTTCTTATACTTCCAATAATGAAACAGAAGTTCTACAAGAGGGAATTATTTCCAACATGGAATGTCTTACCAGATATTCACTCTTAGCCTTTCTGCTGTCTAAACGGAACTGGAAAGTATTTTCTAGAAAAGGCCAGCAGGAGGGCTAACCGCTTTGCAGCTTGTCAGGAGACTTTTGCATGGAAATTAGAATAATAAATCAGAGAGGACAGACTCACAGCACCAACTGATAATATAGCTAATCTGATTGATTCATCTCTATAAGGAGATCATTTTATGATCTCGATTAGTCTATGATCTATGGAAAAAAAGTCAAAAACAGGTTAGGATATGAGCATTTGGGAGAGATTAGTCAAAAATCATGTTAGGAGTTTGTTTCATCTTTCTCCTCTAAATTAAAGACATTTCACTGAACTTTAAATTCTCACAAAACTTTAAATTCTGCTGAAGTCATTTCAACCCAAATCTCAGTTGATACATCATTCTACAAGTTTTACTGTATCTTTATGTATATATATTACTTATTTTATTTTTGTTGTTGTTTTTGAGAATATACATAGCAGAACATAAACCAATTCAACAATTTCTACATGTACAGTTCAGTGACATTAATTACATTCTTTGAGTCCTGCAACCATTCTCACCCTTCTTTTCTGAATTATTCCTCCCCCCATTAAAATAAACTCACTGTCCCCTAAGTTTCCTATCTAATCTTTAGAGTTACTGTTGTCAGTTTGATCCCATATAGCTAGATCTTAAAATAGTATGATGTTCAATGTAAATATTCTTTAATAGTTAAGCTAAATTATTGTTTTAAGAAAATTTTAGGGTATACTTTTGATTTAAGATCATCTCAGGGCACTAGTTACATGAATTCATCTAGTCTTCATGGCTCCAGAAAGTATGGATTCCATGATAACTGGAAGATCTTTTCTGCATTTTCTCCCTTTTGATCAGGATTCTTCTATAAAATCTTTGATCAAAATATTCAGTACTTAACCATATATCCTTTTAAAAGCACATTGTTGTTGTGTGCCATCAAGTCAATTCCAACTCATAGCAATCCCTATATAACAGACTAGAACTGCCCCCAAAGAGTTTACTAGGATACAATCTGTACAGAAGCAGACTGCCACATCTTTTTCCATGGAGTGGCTAGCTGGGTTTGAACCACTGATCTTTTGGTTAGCAGCCTAGCACTTAAGCATTGCACCACCAGGGCTCCTTTCTTTAAAGCTTGCATATTATGAAACAAATTTTTCAAGGTAATTCATACTTGATAATATTCCTAAAATAGGCATCCTATTAACTCAACAAATCTCAAGACAATTTTAGGATCAAGAGAGTTTACTGAATTTATACAGCATACGTGTATTTGCTCCCAATCTTCTATATCAAGCATATCAAATAATAAAACTTACGCTACTATATAAATACACATTCAAGGATTTTTGTAAACCTCATTTCTTTTTAGAGTATGAACAACAATTTTATAGTAATCCATTTTACTATAAGCTATGCAAGATCTTTGAAAAAATAAATGCAGTTCTTGCAGTAGATTAAAAAAATCCTTTTCATTAATAATAATATGGGTAGACCAAAACTCATAAAGTTTCAAAATTTTTGATATATTTTGGTTATTCAGATGGGAATACATTTTCTCACAGGTGAAGTGGGGCGTAGGGTGGGGACTAGTTCTCAGATTAGTACATGAACCTACTTGCCCCATGATGCTCTGGCAGTAATAGCCAGGGTTTCTGATCCAGGCCCTGTGGTATAGGAGAGAAATAAGATGAAAGGTAGAGAGTATTTTCTCTTTCCTGGACACAAGATCATTTTCCTGATCAATGAACAATGTGCCTCTAGGACAAAGAAAAGTGAAAAAAAAAAGTATATTTCCCTTAAATAGAGAACTTGAAGTTGGGCAAGTGTGGACTTCTGAAACTGGCAGTCTTTCCTTTTTGCTTCAGTACCATAAGTGATTGTAATCTTCTTAGCTTTGTCCTTCCTAAAATTTAGCAGTTTCCACAGGGCAATTTAAAGAACAAAAAGGTGGAGAATTTGTCAAAATGCCGATTTCTGGGATCCATCACCCAAAAAATTATGATTCCACAGATCTGGGCCATAAGAATATGCATTTTTAACAAACTCCTAGGTGAGTCTCATTAGATCACATTTGCAGAATGACTGGTCTAAAATCTCCTGATTTTTTTTTTTTTTTCGCAGTGATTTCTCCTAGTGGCACTATAGTCTCCAGCAACAGCAATGGAGGGCTTTTTTTTTTTTTTTTTTTTTAATGTAGGTCAGTAGTTTAGAAGGCAGAGACTATTGTAATATGAAGTGTTTGGGCAACTCTCCTCAAAAATATTATTCTCTGTGCTAAGACGTGATGGGATGTTTATATATATAACATGCTGAAATGTATATTGAATTAACTAAAATCTTCATGTTTCAGAGTTTCTTCTTTGGCTGAATGTGGACACTGTAATTACTATATTAAGAATAAAAGTATTTAGCCTTTATGTTGAATTTCTACCAAAGTCAAAGTAACCATGCTTAAATTTATTATACCAATATTTTCTGGATCCAAAAATCATTTATTCAATTAAAACACCAGTAGTTCAATAAGCTCCCAATTTGAAAAAGGAAATCCCTTATGAATTCAAAGGATAATTATTTTTTAATGTAGGAAATTATTTGCGTTACAACACTCAGGAGGTTTCTGCTGTATTTAAATGATGATGTGATCTTTCATTCTAATGGCACCAACATATCAAAAGTAACGTAAGAAGAATATTTTTAATATACTTCAAATTAAAAAATTCAAATATGTTAAGATGTCCATTTCTACCTGTCCTCAGTGTTGACCTTAGTTAGCAATGTACACAAATTCTAGGGAGGTGTATATTGGCAGTTTCAAGTATGTCTTCATCACTTATCTAAAGATGAAGCCAAAACCAAGCTTTCTTGATTTTGGAGGATTTCATTTTATAGAAATGTGTCTTAAAAAAAAAAAAAAAAAAGAACTCAACAATTATAATAGGAAACTTTTCTTAAAGCAAATGTAAATGAGTCTAACTTTCACGGTTATGAGATAATAATTTACATAAAGTAATTTCATATTTGGTCATCACTTCTTAGTATTATTTTTTCCCCAAATGAACATTCTTCTTGGAATAACAAACACAACCCTTTCTTCCCTTCTTGGTCCTCAGGGAGCAGTGATGGATGTCATTCAGCTGCCAGCTTGCCAGTGTTCCCTGTGGAGTGGCAACGGAAAAAAAAAGAAAAAAACACACACATTCTGGGTGCAGAATGGCAACAGAAAGGGGAAAAAACAAAAAAGAAAAGAAAAACTTTCTAATGAGGATGGGGCACACATGGTCCGATGCTCTATGACAGATTCGAATTAGCTATACTTTCTCCACCTGCCACAGCTATTAAAATAGTTGTTAATAATAATAATTTTAAAAAGCAAGAGAGAGAAATAAAGAAAATGACAACAGCGTGCAGCAGTGAGGAGGTTTGTTTTTACTTCCTCACAGGTTTGCCACGGACCATTCAGAAAACAAAGGAGGAATGCCTGATCATGGCGATCCTTCTTACCCTACTTCTGACATAAAACCGATTTACACTGGTCCACAAAAACTAGATTATATGATACGTAAGTGTGTGTATAAGTTTATGGTAAGTATGTACATACATTTTATGTAAGCATTTTATTCTTGATACTTTCAGTAGAAATATATTGTTGATGTATATAGTATTAAGAGTAGCCACATATGTATATATTTACATGGGTACTACATAGTTAAATAATTGCCAGTAAGAGTGTGTACACCATGTAAAAATCTGTGTAGTTATCTGCAAAAGAACTGTGGGTCTGTTACTTAAAAATAATTATTTAAAAAATAGTATGGCTTTATCTTGTTCCGTCAAAACCACAATGTGATTTAGTTATTTATAAAAGAATGCTGTTAAATATTTGCTTAATTATTTTAGGAAATTTACATATTTATTTGTTTGACCAGTTATCAGAGCTTAAGTTCTGATTATTTACCTAATGAAACATTTATTTAATTGATGGTAGCTATTCTCAATAAAGGAACCCTGGTGGCACAATGGTTATGCAATTTGCTGCTAACAGAAAGGTCAGTGGTTCAAACCCATCAGAGGCTCTGCAGGAAAAAGACCCGACCATTTGCTCCCCATAAACATTACATCCTAGTAAACCCTATAGAGCATTTCTACTCTGTCCTACAGGATCATTGTAAGTAGGAATCAGCTCAAAGGCACACAACAGTATCAATAACAGCAACATTCTCGATAAAGCAGACCTGGTGGTATGACAGTTGAGTGCTTACCTGCTAACTAAAAGGTTGGCAGTTTTAACCCACCCAGCAGCTCCGAGGGACATGGCAATTTGCTTCCCTTAAGCCAAGAAAACCCTATGGGGCAATTCTACTCTGTCATACAGGGTCACTATGAGTCGGAATTGACTGGACAGCACCTAACAACAACAGGTATTCTCAATAGGCAACCTTGCTTTAGCAATTAATTGCATTTGTTTAGCTGATGAAATCACAGTTGTGCTTTTGTTTCTTACACTAAGTTATACTGAATGTCCTTTTGTTAGATAAATGGCTCTTCATGTGGAAATTAAAACGGTAGATTAGAAAGGAAAATGCTAATATATTGCTATCTTTAGAAATTTTCTGACTACTAATGGGAATCAGATACAATATATGTGACCTGGAAAATGAGTATTATTTGAAAGTGTTCTGGAAATTTGTCTTCATTAATAAAATATGACCAAAAAAACCAAGATACTAAAAATGTACATCCAAAAATATATTCATGTTCCTAGTTTCTAGATAGGTACTTTGATATTCCCATATATAAATGGCATAAATTTTTTTACATACTGCATTTATGGACCAAAAGTAAAAATATACTTGGTATATTTCAACTGGTTTCACATGATTAGTTTTCTTTTTTAAAGGGCAATCTAAAATGTAAATTATTTTAAGGTTTTTGTAATTGTTTTAAATAAATACATCGGTGAACAGACAATTTTTCTATTGCTTTCTACCACAGTAAGGAGCCCTGATGGTGCAGTGGTTAAGAGCTATGGCGAGCTATGGCTGCTAACCAAAAAGGTTGGCAGTTCAAATCCACCAGTCGCTCTTTGGAAACCCTATGGGACAGTGCTATTCTGTCCGATAGGGTCGCTATGAGTTGGAACCAACTCGACAGTACATAACAACAACAACCACAGTAAACTATTCCATTAAAATTTTTATCTTTATTTATTATATCATTTTTCCTACTCAAAACATTTCATAGGTGGCATAGTTATAAGAGACGCAATAATTAAGATTTCTATTTTTTCAAGACAATATAATCATCCTGGACATTGAAGAAAGGCTTTAAAGACTCCAAAATTTTAATTCCACTCATATCCAAAACAAACAAAAAAATGAGAGAAACGAAATTTACCTAAATTAAAAAGTTTGTGGATGACTAAAAAATGTTTTTAAAATCTTCCATTCTTCTTTCTTTCCTTCTTTTCTTTTAAAAATATATTTATATAGTTTTTCTAGTATAGATCAAAGTTTTATAATCATAACTTGTAAACTTAGGAGAAAAAAAGTGTTTGAAAGATAAAATATAATAGTGGATTACAAATTTTATTCTTTGTACATTGTAAAGGGGAAAGTTTGTTTTAGGTTCATTGTATAAATAGCTTACTCAATGATAGAAACCAATTCCTTGATTATAGCCCTCAAAATTAAGAGCTCAGGCTACTAACTAAAAGGTTGACAGTTTGAATCCACCAGCTAGCTGCTCCTTGGAAACCCTATGGGGCAGTTCTACTCTGTCTTATAGGGTCCCTATGAGTAGGAATCGACTTGACGGCAATGGGTTTGGTTTGGTTTATAACCATACCAAGACCATCAGAAAACAAAGGGGCAATGCCTGACTATGACAACCCTTCTTATCCTACTTCCTCCATAAAACAGAAGAAGTATAGAATATTTTATTTCTCAACACCCTAAGAAACATTATCATAGAAATAGTCCCTGCAGTTTAGATTCCCTCTTTCTGAATGAAATTCTCAGGGTTGTGTAGTAACCCAGAACCAGGACTGGACTTGGAGAAGGAAATAATCAACAAGGGCCGAGATGTGCTACAATAAGGCCCTTACCTGCTCTCTTAAAACTCCACCCCTGTATATTTATGTAGCACTTTTCCATAAAGAATTTCAAGTTTATATTGCACATCCATTTCAGTGCTATATTTCTGTGAAACTGGGACATACGTTTGACAGCAGTCTTATTGAAGAGTGGCACAACATATCAGATACGAAGATTTCTAATGTCATAAAGTATTTGGCAAGGGAAGTTGGCAAAGAACCTTAAGAGTTCTTTTCCCTGTAATGTCTTGCCTATTAAACGAGTTTAAACATTCTAGGTATTTTCTAAACGATGTGCTCTTGGAGAGGCAATAGGAATGTATGGACAGTTGCTATGATATTTATTCTATGTGATGTGAACACATACTACTTAAAAAGCTCTTTGCAAAAAGTCATTTTTTTCTGGACTGCTGTTCTTTCAAAGAGTATAATAAGCACAATTTTTGTCATACCTCTTCATAGAAATCTCATAGCTCAAGAATTCTATGATTACCCCAACCCTTAAATAATCTCAGACGCTAACTCAAGACCTCTTTTAAAAATACTTCAAAGTGCATTTTCAGATATGTGAACACGTATTAGTATTTCTATCAATAAAATTTAATACCCAATTTATTATATTTCCATCTGAGTATATATTTACTTATATGAGTTTGTTACCCCCGTTTGAAGTCAGGTTTTGGTCTTTGTCAACTTTTTATTTCACTGCGACTGTGTCTTGCCCAGTATCCTCTTAGAACCTCCAGCAGCCTCCTCCTCTCAGTGTTTACCTTTCTGTTCACGCTTTGACACAGCTGTAGTCTCTTCATCGTCCTTGTCTTTGACTTTGGGTTTAGGTGGTGTTTTCTGTACGTCTTTTACTTTTGCAGCTGTTTGCTTCACTTTCTCCTGTTTTCCAGCTTTCACTTCCTTTTTAGTCTTCTCTTCAGTCTTTTCCTTAGTTTTAGCTTTCTTCTCTTCTGTACAGAGGTAAAGAAAAGTTGAATTATTTTTGTTTATTTAACAACGTAGCATTTAATCTTTCTTTGGTCATTAAGGGAAACCCTGGTGGCGTAGTGGTTAAGAGCTATGGCTGCTAACCAAAACGTTGGCAGTTCAAATCCAACAGGTGCTCCTTGGAAACCCTTTGGGGCAGTTCCACCCTGTCCTATAGGGTCACTGTGAGTTGGAATCAACTTGATGGCAGTGGGTTAATGGGGTGGTCATTAAGAACAATTCCAGTAAGAGGAAAGAACAAAAACAATAGAAAAAAATAGTGTCCTCGACGTAAGTACTTATGGACTACTATCTGAATTTTATAGAGCTTATGAATGCTATGTCAGACTCCTAAAAAATATAGCTCACTTGCAAGCTGGGGCACTTTCTTAATTTGTATATGAAAACACTATGTTTTAGGTAGTCAGAGACTTAACATGTTGGTAAGCAGATGTTTGTAATCTGCAGGGGATGTACATACACGTATGTTCAGTGAAAGGCAATGTTCATACCAAAGAGTCCAAAATAGTCTCCTTTTAAAAGGATCTAAAAAAAATCTCAAGAGTCATTCAAGAAACTGAATGCCAACAAACTATTTTTTAAGATAACTCTTAGGAATGCGAATGTAAAATTACCTGCACTGGTAGTGACTAACAGGAATAAAACAATAAACCCATTAGAGGTAACTGAGAGACATTCAGTCTCTAATGACTTGGCTGAAACAAAGAGAAGAAACTGAGATGTTGGCTCCTGCTTGCCTTAAGTCAGAGATAATTCTAATGGCTTTTAAAACCCTTGAATATATCCTAGCAAACAAAAAGGGGCTATGAACTAGAATATATAACCACTAAATGCCTTGGTAAGTCTACTGCAATGTTGGAATCTCCCATGTCATTCACCAACGCCGTGTGTAAGGTGCAAGGTTTTTCTTTTTTTGTAATCCATGTTGAAGTATTTGATGAAAATAATATAATCAAGTTTCTTGACTTTGATACACTGAACAATGATTTGAGACTATGTCAAAATAATATTATTGTGAAGCACCACGGAGAGAAGAATGAGAATGATAGTGCTTAGCATAGGTTAGCTCACAAAATCAAAATCTTCTGTGGTACTGCATTTAGTTGACTAGACCAATACCTTCCAAAGCACTATTCCTCAGAAACGTTCCTGGGAGATGTTGATACTGCATTGGGGAGAGGGAGCTATCCCTGTGATCAAATAAATTTGAGAACACTAAGCTAAATCAGTTTCTTTACTATGAACTTTTTCAAAGCTAAAATGTATTGAGATTCTTCGAGAAAGGGGATATGCTATACATTGTTTTCCAAAGTTATTTGACCATAAAACTCTCATACAAAAATCACCAATTTACTCCCGTAAACTTCCACCATCTTAATGGCTTCTGTGACTATAATCATTCAGGAGGGATTTTCTTCTACCTCCTCTAAACTATTTCTCAATCTCTTTTGCTGGTTTCTGCTCTTTCCTACAACAAACTTATCCATTTCTGTGATCCAAACCATCTGCTCTCTGTAGATGACTCTAAATTGTCATCTTTCCTTAACCCCAGTCCAAAATGTTTATTAGTTGTCTGGGTACGAAGTTCTACTGTAAATGCCAGCAGCACCTTAGACTCATACAACTCTTGTATGTTCTGCAAACAAACTCCTCTAGACAGCCTGTCATGGTCTGGGCTCAGAGTTAGTCACTGAAGCTCTAAATATCAGCAAGAGAAATTTAGCATAACATTTAAAACCCTCCCATATCTGGCCCTGTCCTATCTCTACTCTCATAATGTCATTCCAAAAGTTTCTTCCTCTACTAGACTACTTCCTGTTTTTTGACTATCTCATACATTTTCTACATGTCAAACAATAGCAGCCTTCATTCTCTGTATTTTCCATGTACATAAATTCCTTCACCTTCAATTCACATGCAGCAAATGGCTATGCCATTGAAATTACTCATTCTTTCTTCTGAGCTTCCATTTGCTTGAACCTTTATTAAAGCCCACATTTTATTCTGCCTTATATCTTGTATCCACAATGTTGACTGTTAATTTGTCCTACTGTGGTGGCTTACATGTTGCTATGATTCTGGAAACTTGTCACCAGTATTTCAAATAGCAGCAGGGTCACCCATGGTGGTCAGATTTCAGCGGAGCTTCCAGATTAAGACAGACTAGGAAGAAAGGTCTTGCGATCTACTTTAAAAGCTATGGATTATAACAAAGCATTGGCCTACATAGTGCTGGAAAAAGAGCCCCCTAGGTTGGAAGGCACTATACAATAGCAACAAAATGGATTTAAACATACCAAAGATCATGAATATGGTGCAGGACTGGGTAACGTTTAGTTCTGTTATACATAAGGTTACCATGAGTGAGAGCTAACTCAAAGGCAACTAACAACATAGTTTGTATCATAGATGGGTCTTCACATATTTGCTTTCCCTACCAGATGGAGGAAATCCTGGTAGTGTAGTGGTTAAGAACTGTGCCTGCTAACCAAAAAGTCAGCAGTTCGAATCCACCAGCTCCTCCTTGGAAACCCTATGGGGCAGTTCTACTCTGCCCTATAGGGTTGCTATGAGTCGGAATCGACTCGATGGCAATGGGTTTGGTTTTTTGGTTACCAGACTTGAGGATAAAACCCAAAAAACCAAACCCATTGCCATCGAGTCGATTCCGACTCATAGCAACCCTATAGGGCAGAGTAGAACTGCTCCATAGGGTTTCCAAGGCTGTAGATCTTTACTGAAGCAGACTGCCACATCTTTCTCCCACAGAGAGGCTGGTGGGTTTGAACCACCAACCTTTCGGTTAGCCTAGGAATGCTTTAACCACTGCGCCACCAGGAATCCTCGAATAGGAGCTACATTATTCATTTATGTATGATCAGTGTCTAGCTCAGTGCCTTCTTCAGGGAAAACACACACACACACACACAGACATACACACACACACACAGAATAAATGTCTGCTGAATTAGCAATTTTAATCAAGGCAAAAGACCAGTAAATATTTCACTATATTCAGATCACATGCCAATAAAATGATATACAGATTATACACGTAAATACGTGTTTAGAAATAAGTAATATATGTCAAAACTTGAAAAACCTATATAATAATATTTAAGGAATTTACCAACTTTTTTTGTTTGTTTATGCATTTTTTGTGAAATTGTTACATTAGGTTACCCTAAATGACATTTAACAACTCCTGTAAATAGCAATTGATTCAACTTTCTCTTCATACTATGGAATTAAATATGTGTGAAATTGAGATCTACTTTTAATGCTATTATAATTTATAAATGAGTAAAAATGGTTTTTTTGGAGACAGGACCACATATAAAACAAACTGTTGTTATCACTGACTTTAAATATAAAAATAATAAATTCTTCTCTGACTATTTTAGACATTAGTCAGTGATTTTCGTCTTTGAAACAGATCACTTTGGTTTATATTAAAGCCCAAAGTGGTTAAGAACTCAACAATGATGCAGATATGAGGAAAATACCATGAAACTAAAGCAATATCCAGAGTTCCTTACTAGAAGAACTGGGGAAGAATTGGCTTCCAAACTTATTCAGCATGTTGGCAGAATTCGTTTACTTCTCATGCTTCCATGCGATCCCCTCAATTTTCAAGCCAGCAACAAGGTGCAAGTTCTTCTCACGCTTCAAATCTCTCTAATTTCCTCTTATGCTGCATCTGTCTGCTTCTAAGGGCTCATGTGATTATAATGAGCCCACTTGGATATCCAGGATAATCTCCCTATTTTAGATCAACTGATTAGCAACCTTAAATACCCCTGCAAAATCCTATTTGCCATGTAATGTAATATAATCACAAGGGTTACACTAAAGGGTGAAGGTATGGGGGACAACATTCTTCATACATTATTTAATGAAGCTCTTCATTTTTCTCTCACATTTTGTGACACTCTGTTATTTCAAATATTCAACTTACCTATTCTTTTAGGTATTAAATTTTAAGTATAAATCAAATTAAATTTTTATGTAAAATTCTAAATGCTTACAATCATCTGGCTACCTGTCACCTAAAATGTAATCTTTTAAAATAAAAAGAATTTAGTAATGGAAATGATCAAAGGAAAAGTTACCTTTTGCCACTGTCTTTGCTTCTGGTTTTTCTTTTTTCTCAATTTTTTCCTTGTGAGTTGCTTAAACAGAAAAATTTACATTAGTACCCAATTTTACTAGAATTCAAGATCAAGTTTTGTCTTCAGCTAATTTTTATAGCCATCAACATCATAGATTATCTTGAAAGTGTATGACGTTAATAAGCCCAATTTAGGAATATAGAGCAATCAATGTAGTAAAACTGTATGGAACACAGTTTAAAAGACTTGACATTAAGACTTACAAAGAATTTTGAAACCATATCTATCCTCCTTCTTTTTTAGGTCATTATTTCAAATAGATAAAGCTTTTAGGAAAGACAAACAGAGAAACAGGAATTTTATAAGAATTTGTCCAAAAGATATACCATTATGTCAGAAAGAAGCACCCTCTTTAGAACTAATAAAAGGAAATATTTAAATCAGGACTAGGGATTCATCTAATCACAGCGCATGTCTGATTGAAAATCAAATGATCCTGGCAGTTGTAGAGCTATTGGGGTACTGGGTTAGCACAAAAAATTTATACTCAACTACCCAGTGGCACCACGAATAAAAGGCCTGGTGACCTGCTTTTGTTAAGATTACAGCCAAAAAAAACTCTATGGAGCAGTAAAAAAAAACCTGTAACACATAGGGTCACCATGACTTGACTACTTGGCAATGGGTTTTAATAGAGCTATTGAGAAAGATGTCGCCTTCTCCAGGGTTCCAGCATCTCCATGTCTCAGCCTTCCCCAAAGCCATCTCTACCATCTTGTTCTCCCATTTGGGGTCATCAGTAATAGCTTGGATGTTGTTAGTAGAAGTACTATGCTTGGCCATCCAGGACACAATTTACACAAGGTCATGGGGCTGTAGTACAATAGATTATCTTATACAGAAGCAAACAAACAAATCCATGGCTGTTGCATGGATTTTAACTCATGGTGACCCCATGGGTTACAGAATAAAACTGCTCCATAGGGTTCTCTTGACTGTAATTTTTATGGAAGCAGATCATTAGGTCTTTCTTCCTCAGAGCTGCTGGATGGGTTTCAACTGCCAATCTTTATGTTAGTACTGGAGTGAAATTTCATACAAAAAGGTCCTTTAATTGGCATACAGTAGAAAAAAGCACACCTACAGTGTAGCATTTTATTTCTGCTTTTCAATTTGGGCAAATCACCTGCAACATTTGTAATTTAAGGGCAACAAATTCTCTATTTTTTAAAAAAAAAAATATTTAGCCACTGTGAAGTTTGAAAAAAATCATAAGCAATATCGGATTATTTTATTTAGATAGAGCACACCAAATCTGATGCTAATAATTCTGCATAACTCAATAACAAATGGGAAATGAACACTTGTTTCTAGAGTAGAGAAAGAAGATGGCTGTATCGAAATGCATTGAAACTATTACCAACTAAATATTAATTTAAAAAAACTTTTTAATTCAAATTCTCAAATGGAAACATATAGTAAGGAAGACTGAAGCATGTTTCAACCCTTCTGATTCCCTAAATGTTAAAAAATTCTACCTAATTGAAATGTTTCACAAAACAAGAAAACTTAGCAGGCTATGTAGAGTGTGGACTCATAAATCAGCTGAAACACCCTCTTTATCAATAACTCTACAACTGCCAGGATAATTTGGTCTTTCTTCAAGTGGGCATCATACATGGAAATAGACTTTTGATAAAATAAAAGTAAAACATGAAACTAATTTGGAAAATATTGGTGACTACTAATCTACAGATAAAAATTCAAACTAGAAATAGTAAAAGAAAATATCAACGTATCTAGCCTCAAGAATGTTAAATAATCTAAACAATAGTCTAAGGAAATAATCATGGCATAATTTCAATAAAAAGAAGTATATGGTTGTTATGAATTAAACCGTGTCCCCTTAAATCATGAGTTGGAATCCTAAACCCTATACCTGTGGATGTAATCCCGTCTGAGAATAGGGTTTTCTTTGTTATGTTTGTAAGTCCAGATCAGGGTAGGATGTGTCCTAATAACATATAATCACTTCTGAGTTATAAGGAACAACAGAGACACAGACAAGCAAGCACAAATTGGGCAGGGGGCAGGATGGGGAGAGATAGATGCCATGTGAAGATCACCAAGGAACCTAGGAACTCCAACGGCTATAGAAATTGAGACGAGGATCTTTCCCAAGAGCTGATAGAGAGTGTCTTCCGCTATAGCCAGTGCCCTAAATTCAGACTTCTAGTCTCCTAAACTGTGAGAAAATACATTTCGGTTCTTTAAAGTCACCCACTTGTACTACTTATGTGACAGCGGCACTAAGAAACTAAGACAATGGTCATCTAAAATCTGAACGTAAAGAAGGGGAAGTAAAAGGGAAGGAATCAATGTGTAAAAACATCAGTAAGAATAATTCCATACCTTTCTTTTCAGGTTTTTCTTTTCCCTTTTCTTTTTCTTTTCCTTTGGCCTTTTCTTTTTCTCTGTGTGTAACTGTAAAGAAATGGGTAATACTTTTCATTTAAATAAAGAGAATAAATGATAAGATGATTGCATGACAGTCTTTGATGTCAAAACCTTAGCTACAGCTTTCTGAAATCTACCTTTAATTGCCAAGAGGCTTTACACAGAGGTTTACATAGAGGTTTTAACTTCAAAATCATTACAGAGCTATTTCTTTCTATTTCTATTTTTATTTCAGATTTAATCATAGACTAGTACCAAAATCAGGTCTGATTACAAAGATAAGACTACCCCTTAGTTTTTCCAAACCCTCAAACACTTCTAGAGAAAAAAAAAATAGATATATGTCATGCCATATGCAAAAAAAATCTAGCTTCAATATTGAATGAACACCACGAATATAGACAAAAATATATAGAGAAGCTTTTAAACCTGGAGCAAAAACAATCCAATTAATTAGTATGTGTTAGCCCTCTAAAGAAATACTCCACTCTAAAAGTTTATGAAAACACACTAGGATGAGACAAGGATCACACCAAATCTATTCAAAGGTAATAAAATTTAGTTTGAGGTATTCTCCAATTAATACAATAGGTTTCAAGTTTAAGTCATAATCTTACCTCATACTTTCTTCATAATTCCAATTAATGGCACCTCCAGTTGCCCAAGCCAGAAACATGGGTCTTACTCAGATTCTTCTCTCTCTTGTATTTTCTATTTATTCACCAAGTGCTTTCAACTCTACCTTATTAACATTCCTCTTACCCAGCCTTTTTCTCCAATACTACATTGGAGTTGACACAAAAATATAGAAAGAGTACCTGCTATGGACTATAAAACTGCTAGGCAAGACAGGCTACACCCCTGTCATCATGATGTCAACAACCTAATGGATGATAGATGCTAATCATATATCTACAAAGGTAGGTAATTGCAGTTAGTATAATTGCTTTAAAAAATATTCAGGGTGGCATGCCACTGTGTAAAATGGAGCCTAATCTTGTCTGTGTATTGGGAAAGGTCTCGTGTTAAAAGCGTCATTAAAGCTTGTGAATGATGAGAAGAAAGCACCCTAGTAAGGGGATAAGAAAGAGAAAGGAGAGACTATTCAAAAAAATTGAAGCATGATGTCCATCTGGCATCCAGGAAGTACTGATGTCCTCACCATTCATTTCTTACTGAGACTATTAGAATAACATCTGACAAGACCCCTGAACCTTTAGATTTAGATTTTCTTCCCTCAGATTAATCTTCCTAACATGAAAATCTGATTATGCTATTCACCTATTCACAACTTTTAGTGTCTTTTTTACTGCTTAGTATGGTGTCTGTCACATCGTAGTTGCTTTATAAAATATAAGAATATCCCATTGCTCTAGTAATCTGACATTTTCTTACAAACTCAATCTTATCTACCAGGTGGTTTCCCGCAGAACATTACATTCCTTTAATAACAAAATGTTTGTAGCTCCACACACACATACCACGTGTCTTCCTTATGCCTCTGCCTCTCTGCATGTTTAAGCCTCCCACCTGGAATTCCCACACCCACGTTTCCTCCGTTCCTTCACCCTGTTAGTCCTGGTTCAAATGTATTCTCCACTGTAAAATTTTCCTTCATCTCCACGTGTTCTATACACTGTACCATGTACATAATTCTACTTTAGCACTTAAATCATAATTCTGCAGTTGTTCATATGTCTGTCTCACAAGCAAATAAAATCTCTTTAGGGACTGCATCATATTATTTTATTTTTGTATCCCTAGCTCATTGTATGGTGCCTGTCACATAGAGAGTTCTAAATAAATACTACTGAATAAATAAAGTTTTAAACTATTATTAAAAAAGCTATGAAACAATGACAACAAAGATCTGGTTGTCCATTCCACTAAATGATTTTCAATATTGATGTGTGCACAGGCATAAATGGGAGAATTAATACAAAATCAAAGGAGCAAGGGGGCTGAATTCAGACTTCAATTAGCTGTGAAACTAGCCCTTTCTATGGAAATTGATTTTCTAGTGAAAGTCTATATATTGATGGTTTGATATAGATGTAATATGCAGCGCTTGCTAACAATCGTTTGAAATTTTTTATAATTTATTAAAGTTTCTTAAATTAAAACCTAGTAAGAAACTGCTGACCAAAAAGTCGGCAGTTTGAATCCACCAGGCACTCCTTGGAAACCCTATGGGGCAGTTGTACTCTATCCTATAGGGTCGCTATGAGTCAAAATCAGCTCAACGGCAATGGGTTTTTTTTTTGTTTTGTTTTTTTTAAGTGAGAAACAGGGGATGGGGGGAACCACTTTAGACAATCCAGACATCATTTTTTCCTTTCACATCCAATGTTTCTTTTAGGTGTTTCTGAGCTAATATTTCAATATAAATATCTCTCAAAGTAAGGGGAAGATGTCAGCATTTACACACAACAAAAGACAGTTTATTGGGGTTCCACTGGATCATTATTAGTTAAACTAAAACCCAAAGGAAAACTTTGGCACAAACAAAGCCTCTTTTAAAGTTTCTCAAGGGGGAACCAAGTTTGTGTGAGATAAACTGTGCTTTAGGAACCCAGATTGGAAAGACCCCGGGAGATCACTTAATCTGTGTCTCTGCCTCAATGAAGGACTGGACCTCACTCACCTCAGGCAGCTGGTTGTCCATTCAGCTAAAGGATTTTCAGATTGAAGTGTGCACAGGCGTAATTGGGAGAAATACAAAACCTCCAGGAGCAACAGGGCTGAATTCAGGTTCAAATTAGCATATAAATGCCTTGTTCCTGTTACTCTGGGGACAATCTGATTCCTCCCAGTCTAAGTTTTGATTTACAGACACAGTGCTGTATCCTGGAATTTCATTATCCCGCTCAGAAATGGCACCATAATACTGCTTAGGGAAGCAGCTGGACCCATGTGCTCTAGGAAGCTGTTCAAAATGGCAGACAGCCATGAAAGCTTCTTGGATGAAAACTTCAAACTTTGGCAAAGACTGAACTCAAATACCAAGTTTTGAAAATACTTTCATGAAAATAAATGCACAGTTACTACTTTAATAATCACTCTGAAACAAAAATAATCTGCTACAACTGCATCTGCTTGTGTATCTCTTTGCTTAGAAACACAACCAGAAGTTTTCATGTGGAAGAAGACAAAAAAAAAAAAAACCTTCCCTGTCATACCATCCCAGTTTGACAAGTTGCATCTTAGCCAGGACAGTTTTAGCTCAGGATAAAATAAGCTTTTTGCACCTGCTAGAGCTTAATTTGTTTGTCATCCTTATTTACAAGAAACAAAAGTCCCTTTGGTACGCTGATAATTAAAAGCAAATGGAATCCACCAGTTGGAATAGACCTGATGTTTGCCATCTGAGTTGGCATGGTCCTGCTGTTTCTGCACTTGCCCAGACTCTGACCTTTCCTTGACCAGAACATTCAGCTCAACTCAACTCTGAAGCGCGTCTTTCGCCCTCCACATATGGTCCCTCTCCACCACTCCTCAAGCTGTGTTCTGTGCTTTCACAGCGTGCTTGGCCCTGGCAGCCTGCCAGCCGGGCTGCTTGTCCTTTACTGAAGTGTCTCAGAGCTCACAGTGCGCCTGACCCTGTGGGTCTTGTGCAGCAAAGCACTCCCTGGGGCTAAGCTATTGGCACTGTGGGCCAGGTTGTTAAGAGTTCTTCGCGGATCTCTCTCCTCTAAGTCAGAAAATCAAAAGTTCCAGTGTCAATTTCTTGAAGTAGTGATTTGTATAGACTATTATAGTCTTCAATTTGTGGTTAACAAACTGAATTAACCAAAACTCTGGAACTAAACCTGAATTCAGAGCTAGTGGACAGGAGTAATCTTGAGCATCTGAAGTGAAAGAAATTATTCTGAGAAAACATACATTATGTGCATGGGAAATATTGCAGGCAGAGGAATAAGCAAGTAAAAATCATTACAGCTTTGTATTAGAAAAGACTGTAGGGATCATGTCTACCTGTAATAGATTTTACTGAGTTTTCTTTTAACTGACTGATCAACGTTTCAGCTTTCTCTTGCTTTGTGTGTGGGGGGGTGGTAGTATTAGCAATGGAGTAGTTTATAAATGATAAATATGTGAACATTTCAAATGAATCCATAAAACTTATATACATTCATGTTTTGTATCACTTTTTATGAAAGAGCATAAAACACATTCATTTCAAATCCTTAAAAAAAGTCTATTTTAGCCACCACTAAATTGAAAATACCATGGACTGCCAAAAGAATGAACAAATCTGTCTTGTAAGAAGTACAACCAGAATGCTCCTTAGAAGCAAGGATGGAGAGACTATGTCTTACATACTTTGGACACGTTGTCAGGAAGGATCAGTCCCTGGAGAAGGACATCATTCTTGGTAAGGTACAGGGTCAGGAAAAAAGAGGAAGACCCTCAATGAGATGGACTGACACAGTGGCTGTAACAATGGGCTCAAGCATAACAACAATTGTGAGCATGATTCAGGATCAGGCAGTGTTTCGTTCTGTGGTGCATGGGGTCCCTATGAGTCGGAACTGACTCAATGGCCCCTAACAGCAACAACACAAAATGAAAATGCCAACCATATTACTCTTGGTCGGTGACTATGTATCTGTGTGTCTTTCTTTCTTGTTTGTAATTAATTTTCAGAGTTGCAGTTCTGTGCTAAGCAAGATGATCTATATACTTTAAAAGATAATGATGAACTCAGTAGAAACACATTCATGAATACAGAAACTTCTCAAAGATTTTGTTATTCATTCTTTCTAAGGGAAGAATTTCTAGTTTAATAGAAGCACACAGCTTAAGAATTGGTAGGAACGTAAGTGATCAAGTAACCTGAGTGTCTTTGATCATGACTCTGCATCAGTGCATGTGATATTAATTGGGAAAGAAAACAATTATCTCTATCACTAAACTAATAGTCTTTCTCCAAAACTATGCTGTCTTGTCAGTCACAGTTCTGGTTCAGGCTATATGCTAGTTCTTATGAGCCAAAGTGTGCTGATTTGGGTTCTCCATGCATGTTA